TGGCATGTGCAAGCCCCTCCCTCCCAAAACCCCTTTCTCCCCCACCCTCACCTTTTCTCTCTTAAATATAATATTAATGAGAAGAGCTAAGCTAATTACCTGGCCAAAAATAAAACCTTGAAAGAAGAAGGGGGGAAGTGGGTAAAGATGTGACCGTGGGGAGACGTGGGTCACCTTCAAGGCAGTATGGAGAAGCCCTCTGGGTGGGGGCTCCCTGGAGAAGCCAGCAAGGACGCCAAAGACTGCTGCTCTGCTGGGGGTGGCAGAGGAGTCCTGATTCATCCTTCCTCCCCTTGGTGATCCTCAGGACTCAGAGCAGACACACCATGAGCCCTGCCTGGGACTAGGGTTCCCAGAATCCTATGAGCTTGGGTAAGAAAAGCTTACAGCCCCAGAACGGAACATTTCAAAACTTCTAGACTCTGAGAGATAAAACAACACTTGAGAGACCATCTGATTTCAGCCTGTCTCCATGAAAAGACCAGCAAGGTAATCCACTGCTCAAGCAAAGCCGAGTCCATTGTCTGTGTCGGTAAAAGGGAGCAACCACCATCTTGGAGGTCTCAGTGGTAGAACAGGGAGGTATTTAGAGAGTTGGGGGTCTGGTTGCAGGTGGGTCTTGCACTGCGGGGACCTGACTGGGATTGGACAGGGTTGTCAAAATAAAACCAAAGCTGGACAGTAAGTAGTTAAAGTGGTTAAAACAGATCTTACTCAGGGACTATTGCAATAGGAGAAAAGAGACCTTAGTATAGAGCTGGGCTCAGTTCCAAATACAGCATGGGCAAGTGAGGATTTATAGCCAGGGAGCATGGCTGGGGGCAGTGGATGGAAAATTCCTAGGAGGAGGCATGAGGGGTCAGGGAAGATTCTGGCTAAATGGACTTGACAGGAGTCTTGCTGCAGGCAGGCCGGGGTGATCAGACATCACCTGGGGGGGGGGTGGGGCATGAGGAATTTGATCAAGTATGAGGGTGATCAGACACCAACGGTAAGGATTTTCTGTAAAGTGACTTGACAAAATTCTTGCTAAAAGTGGGCAATGAGACCCACAAGGTCAAGGCCTGGAGGGCTTTGAGGCACTTGGCTAAAGTGTCAAGGAGCCAGTCCTTGTGAGTGTCCATGTGTGGTGGTTTAGAATTGGTCCACACAGCAAGGTGAGCGTTTTGAGCCTGTGAGGGTGAGTGAACAGCTATTTGCGGGCGAGCAGGCGTGCCCACGTGAGCGGCCTGAGGTCTGGAGGAGGCGAGCCCCAATGGTGTATTGTTCAGAAACATGGATGTTCGGGAAGTTTCTGTAACAAACCGTTGCGTGCAACTTTGTCTTTCTGGGTTGCCAGTTTCCTGGAATGGCCAAGACGTGGTCGTTTGGACAGTCTCAGCCATCTGCAGAGGGGCTGCAGAGAGAACTTTGTTCTCTATGTCCGCATGTATCCAAGGGGGCATGGGCTCCTGCCCTGTCCTGTACCTGGCCCAGGTTGCCAATGGCCCTTATCCACTGAACTGGACATTGAATTCTATCAGTTCTTGCCCGCAGCCCAGCCTCTAGCATGTCTGTCTCCTAAATTCCACTGCCACCACTTGACACGGGCACGTCTCTGGGCCACCTTGTCTATGCATCTCCCTGCCTCAGGGGGGCTGCTAGAGTGGTCCTGGGAAAAACGAGTCCACTCGCAGTGACTGTTGCTGTGACTAGCAGTGACTCCTGCTGCTGCAGGACTGGGGCCTCTCACCTGGCCTCCACACCCAGGGCACCCTCTACCTGGTCCCTGCTTGTCCCCCCCCCCCCCCCCCCCCCCCGCTCCTCCCTGGGCTCTCCTGATGTGGACTCTGGGCAGCACTGCCCCCTCCTCTGTACAGCACCCCACCCTCTACCCCACACACGGCGTCCTGCCTCTGAACCTCTACACCTGTGGTCCCTCTGCCCCAATACCCTTCCCAGTCCTGTGCTCCTGGCAAACTGCCGTCTGACTTTCGGGAAGCAACTGTACCAGCCACCCTTAAGCAGGTCCTTGGTCACTTGCTGCTTCGTGGCCCTCGTGGGCTTGGCCCAAGCCTCAGTCTTGGCTTCAGCGTCCCTGCCTGCATTATTCATTTACAAGCAAGGCCGGTCTTATTCCAGGTGCAACCTGGCGTTTACACAGTGGCTGGTCCATGTTTGTGGTTGATACGTGCTTGTGGAGTGAATGGGTACATCTCTGGAAAACAGAGGAATTCTTTCTTATCCACTACTGTAATCTCTCCTGCTTTAATATAAGCCGTTGTGTCCCCTGCTGCTTGCCTCCTTCCTCCATAAACCTGCCAAAGTGAAGACCCAGCCCCAGGGCACCTGGGGGGCTCAGTCAGTTAAGCATCTGCCTTCCACTCAGGTCAGGATCTCTCTGTTGGTGAGTCTGAGCCCTGCGTCAGGCTCTCTGCTGTCCACACAGAGCCCACTTCAGATCCTCTGTCCCCTCCCTGTCTCTGCATCTCTCTCTCTCTCTCAAAAATAAAATAAATTTTAAAAAGAAAGAAAGAAAAGACCCAGCCCTCGTAAGCAGCCCCATCTCCACACTGACAGGCACTCCCCCGGGGGCCCTCTGACCTTGACCTGGTTTCTCCACTACCTCAGTCCTGCTCCTGTTAGATCCTAACACAGACTGCCCCCCACCCCGACTCCCAAGGAGACACAGGGCAATCTGAGTCCTTGATTCAGGTTCAGGGACGGAGGACAAGGTTCATCTCAGGATACTGAGCAGGTTAGACCCCACCGTTGTCTGGGCTTCTCTCACTTGGTTTCCATGAAGCATGTTACCTTCGGACCATGCCTAGCATTTCTCTCCTGCTTCTTGTAACCCCACAATGGCATGGCACTCTTCTCCAGGGCTCTCTTCACATGCCACAGACCCAGCTTCACACCGTGTTATTTTCTTGCCATGCCCGCCTTGGCAGAGGTGCACTGGTCAACAAGGCGGGCCTGGCAGGGGCGGCTTTACCGCAGTGCACCCACCAACCCTGGCCCCATCCAGCTCTTCTCTGGGACAGGTTCACCAGTGCCTCATTGGGCAGCCCTGACTGACCACCCTTATCTCTGCCAGGTGTGGAGGGAAGGGCCGGGCCTTACCTCAGTAGGTGTGTGATGGTCAAACTTCCTCGAAGAAGAGAACCGAAGGGAGGGAGATAAAAAATGGCTCTAGAACTCTAGCTTGTGTTGTCCCATGAGACAGTTCCCAAAGGCCAAGGCAAGGAGAAAGGAATTTTGCCCAGGACTTCTGAAGGTCTCGGTCCTGTCCCGTGAACTGGAAATGCAGGCAGATGGAAAAGGGGGCATGCAGCCTGGGCCTTGTGACCCCTAGGCTGGGGTGCTAGGGAGCATGGGGGGTACGTGATAGAGCCAGATGGGCCTGCTGTGGCCCTCCCACCACACTGCTAGTGAGAGTGAGCAGGGGTTCAGGGCAGGGGGAGGGAAGAAGGCAGGACAAAGAGAAGCTGGCAGGGATCTGGCACAGGATGATTTTTGACAATTTTCAGGGAGCTTATGGTGTGTGGTCTCATCTGAGTCTTTCCCTGCCCAGGTGAAGGCCAGCCTGATTAGCAGATGAACGAACTGAGGCAAAGAGGGGGTAGATGGCTACTGATTTCTGTACTCTCTCTGCAAAGCTGTTCAGAGAAGGAGAGAAAGGGGAGCAAAAGGCAGAGGTAGATGGGGCAGAGAAAGGAACTGGGACCCCAGGGCACTGGGTCAGGAGGGGAGGGATAGGCAGGAGGCCTGAAGACCAGGCTGGGGCTGAAGCACCTAGGCCAACCTTGGGCACCCGTGGCCCACCAGGCTGGGAAGTCAGCCTTTTTCTGGGGCACCCCTGAGCCACCTGATCAGCCCCTGACTCAGAACATTAGAATCTTCTGGAGGAAGGGACAAAGGGAGCCCTGAGGGAGGCCCCCATCTGGTGCAAACCCTGATCCGAGGACCCAGAAACAATTCCTGCCGCTGCTCCTGTGGACCAGGCCTCAGCAAACAGGCCACAGAGAGCCAAACTCTGCTCCCTGCCCTGCTTCTCCCTCCAAAAAGCCCTCCCATCTGCTCCCAGGCCCCACTGGATCCCCCACCCACTGGTCAAATCCTCCACCCCGCCCCCACCCCTGAGCCAGACCCACGCACCCACGCCCCCCACATCCTCAGTGACACTGGTCTGTTGGTTCCTCATACTTCTTTGTTGAACATCCTCTCCTAGTGGAGCCAGGGAGCCCAGGCAGGTGCAGGACAGGTGTAGGGCCGGGGAGTCCCCCAGACCAGTGCTCAGATGAGAGAGAGGTTGGGCAGGGCCAGGGAGGAGCCCCTAGCAGGGGGTATGCAGCTGCCTGGGTGCTTTTTGTGGGTGAGGGAGACCTGCCTGGAGGTGGAGGGGGCAGGGAGATTCTCTCCAGGACTCTTTCCAGGATAAAAGCCGATAGGCAGGCGCGGCGAGGCTGGCACAGAAGGGGAGGCTCTCGCAAACCCTTATTAATAAATGAATAATTGGCACCGTGGCCCTGATTGATGAGCACGGCAGCACATCAGCATCTTCCATGTGAAGCCGGGGATAAATCTTCTCTGCGTGGCCGCTGTCACCAGCCCACTTGGCCAGGGAGGGTGGGGTGGCAGGGAGACTCTGGTGCACACCCTAATGCTCCGGGGCTCCCCCTTCTCTTCCCTGAGATGCCTCAGAGCCTGCAGCTTTCTGCGCAGCCCCGGCATCCGGCGGCCGGACTCCATTGCCCCGGAGATCTCCTTCAAAGCCTCAGGCTGCCTGGGAGCCTCTTCCTCAGGCTTTGCCCCACCTCCTGGAATCTTCCATCTCCAGCTCTTCCATCTTCCACCTCTCACCACACCCACCACTCCCATCCCCCTTTACTCCCTCCCTCCTTCCCTCCACTGGGTCCTCACAGCTCAGGCCAAGTGCTGCCTTCTTCAAGTCCATCCATGACTCCCTAGGGCTGCTGTAATAAGACTCACTGGGGTGCGGTCCTGGGGCCCTTCCCCAGCCCAGCCCAAGTCTGCTCTGCCCTCCACAGCTGCCCCAGCCTTCCTGAAGCTCCTCACTCCTGCCCCCTCCACGCCCACCCTACCTCACGCCCACCCCAGGGCCTTTGTAGAAGCAGCTCCCATTGCCCCAAGGGCCCTCCCCTCCCTCCTCTGCCCCCCTGGCCCCCTGAGCAAACTCTCAGTGTCACATCCTCAGAGATGCCTTCTCCAACTGCCCTAACTTAAGTGGGCACCCCCCCCCCCACACACACACAGTGTTCACTGTCCCCACTTCTGCAAGCCTTTCAGAGCCCATCATCATTTGTACCTAGCTTGCTTGTAGACACAACACCCACCTCCAGTCCCAGACTGGACGGCCCATCAGGGCAAGGCCATCTGTACCTGGCACATAGCATGTGCTCACCAAAACTAAGTCACATGATGACTACAGCTGGTCAATCCCAGGACGCCACTTGTCAATTTGGCAAGTGTGGCACACCTACTTTCCACTCTGAGTTCATCTGCCTCTTCGCTAGGGGCCCAGAGCCCGGTCTGCCTGGGCCTCCCTACAGAAGTGCTTTCCTTCTGACTTACCATGTTCGGAGCGTGTCCCCTTCCAAGGGGTGTGCACTCAGAAGGGAACAAGAGGGGGGCTTGAGACCCGTGCGATAGGGTGATGCTGTAATGGTGTGATGCCAGGCACGGTGCGGGCCAGCTGGAGAAAGTGGGCACTGTTCAGGACTGGAGGGGAGCCCCTCATTCCCCACCACACATAGGAGGTGACTATGGGACATCCCCACTCCATGCCCCGGAGACGGCCTCCAGGGTAGGCCAGGAGGACAGGCACAGCATGTCTCTCCCCAGGAAGGCACCATTTGGAGTAATCCGTTTTTTAATTACTAGTAATTAAATGTGTGTAACCTGCCCAGCTGCCACTCCAGGAACTGGGACAGAACTCCTGGGGGTGCAGCGGTCAGGCACCTGCTGGGAGTGGCAGAGCCCGTCATCAGCCACCTTGGCACTCAAGAAGGTAGCTGGGTGAGTGGGGATGAGCGTGGGTCCCCCGGTACCAGAGAGGAGGTGCAGGGAGCCCCAGGGGGGGCGACCTGCATTTCTGTCTCAGGGGTCCCCAGCCTCCTTGGGGTCTCCTTCCATTTCCCCTTCAGCCTGGAGCAGCAGGATGCCTGCCACAAAGGCAGGTACTTGAAGGGGGCCCCGCCATGCAGTTTCCTCCCCTTCAGCTTTTCAGGTGCCAGCTGTTCCCAAGGGAGTCCTCCTAGAGATTGCCCCAGGCTACCACGCCGCAAAGCAGAAAGCCCCCTCGTGGCCCAGACCCCAGCACTCGGTCAATGTGAGCATCTGTGGAGTATCTGCCACACGCTGACTGCTGCAGGCATCCCTCAGGAGAGCCCGTGCCCCATCCCCGCACCCCCCTTCCCCCCACCAGACAGGCTGGCTGTGGCAGTTCCTCCAGGTCAAACCCTTTCTCTCGGGTTCGACAGTTTGGTCTGTCTTTGGCTGCCTGGCATCTCACTCTCCCTCTTGCTTTCTCTGTCCGGTCCTTCTCTCTCTTGACTTCATCACTCTCCAGTTCCCCCACTTTATCTCCCTCTTAGGATCTTTTACGGAACAATTAAAATAAGTGAAAAGCAGTCATCTTGTTTCCGTGCCCACTTGGGGGAGGGGCGCCTCCAGTCCTGGGACTCCAAACCCTCCAGAGACAGAGCCACCCAGAGTGTCCCCAGGGAGCTTGCGCTTCATAGCTCCCATCCACCCCCTTGCTTCAATTTTCCCCTCTCACTTGTCCTACATCCCACCCACTCAGGCTTGTGTAGACTTTGGACAAACAGGAAGAGGTTGCTAGCAGGCTGTGGGCACTGATGGAATCAGGGACAGCACACTCCCATCTCAGCGGCTTCAAAAATGGGGGAAGGACTCGTATGTGCATCCCTGAGGATGAAATCCGGGAGGCCTTATGGCCACTCTCTGGCTGGGCCACCAGCGTGAGTCCCCCGCTCCGGTCACATGTCCCTCATCTGTCAAACGGGAATGGTGACAGCTCCTGTCTTCAGGTTCACGAGGTTTCACATGCCTCTGAAAGCCCTTTGCTGGCGTATAACACGGGGTTAGTGCATGGATAACGGGACACAGACAGAAAGCCATGAGGATGCACACGGCGACAGTCTCCTATGAACTGCAGGGGAGAGAACTCTCCTGCCTCACCCCAGAGGCTCTCCTGGTCTCTGCAAGGATGGTTTTCCCAGCATCTATAGTTCCTCTTGCTGCAGCTAGGACAGTGGCACCTTTCCATCCCTGCCTGGAAAGTGGATAGCCCACTGCTGGGTCTAAAAACAGTCCCCACGAGTCACTGTGGTCCATGTTACCTCTTTGTCCTGAGGCCCCTTGCTTCTGCCCTACCACACCCCAGGGCTCAGCCACAGCCTGCCAGGTCTCCGGGAAGTCATTTGTCCTCTGTCCCAGGGGCTGCGTACAGGGTGTAGTCCTATAGCCTGTCCTCGGTACCTGCTCCCTGGGGCCCTGTGAGGGCAAGCAAGGTAGGAAATGTGCTCCCCAAAGATCTGACTTTACCTGGAACTTACACTGAGTGCCTGGCCTGTCCCAGACACCACCCTGCCTCTGCAGGACTCAGCCTCTCAGGGAGATTCAGGAATGAACTATCTGGAGCGGGCAGTTGCTAAACAGGGTGGGCCCAGCACACAGTCATGGGCAATGGGTGGTCAGAGCAGAAGTACGAAGTGGGGGTGGGGGGAGGGGCTGATGCTGGGGAGGTCTGATGGGGTCCCTGGAGAAGAAGCATCTTAGATTGAAATCTTTGAAGAATGGGTAGGAGCTTGGCTGGAGCGAGGCCATTCTGAAGGAACAGCCTGGGTAAAGGAGGGAAGGAGGGACATGCCACAGTGAAGGGCAACGTGACAGGAGTGAAAGGTGAGGGTTTGGGGAGTGGGGAGGCTGGATGGGGTCTGTCCCAATATACATGTACCCACCAGCTTGTCCTCACACATAATCCTGGAGAGCCACGATTTGCAGGGCATGGAGTGTGGGCCATCCCCAGGTGGTCATGGCCGGGAGGAAGATGCCATGTGTACAAACTAGTCACCCTGTGTACATGCACAGTTGCCCAGCTGACAATGGGGCGGTTCCTTCCCGACCCCCGCCCCCCCATTCACACGGGCTCCCCACCCACCATGAGCACGGACAGGCCCAGAGGCTGAAGGAACACAAAGCAGCTCAGACCTTTAGACTGCACGTGGGCGCCATCTGGTGGTTGTGCGGAGCACTGCGCCCTCTGAGGTTTCGGGCTTCTTTGGGATGTCACACCCAGAAGTGACATCCCTGGTCCTCACACACACAGAATCATCCGGGACCAGTCATGACATGATAGCCCAACCCAAATGCACAAAGGGCCTCACAACAAAACTCCAGCAGTTACACATGGACACAAACACAGCCAGTCCCATTCACGCTGCCTTTTACCTCCTCTCAACAAATACAGTTTAGGAAGTAAGGGCAGAGAACACTGTAGCCCAGCACAGGCATAACAGTGCACATCTTCTCTGTGTTTTCAGCACACTGTTCATTCTCTCCTGTGGTCATACCGCACAGTTCTGAGCTCACACATCTTGCTGGCGCTCACATCCAGGACCTCCTCCTTGGACGTGAGAACTGGGTTGGCTTCACAGGGAATGTGTGCTCACACTGACCACATATGCCCTGGGGACCACACAGGGCAGGGCAGGACACTGGCCATGTGTACAGTCATATAATCCATCACATTACAACTCAAGGGACTACCTAATAGGAACAGTAAAACTGGTAAAATTAAACACACTCTCTTGCATTGGTTTTGTCTCATGAGGCTCACAACACATCTTTACATACACTAGCTCAAACACTAGCTATTACTTCCCCCATATTTTCCAGATGAAGGCACTGAGGTTCAGAGAGGTTAACCTGCCCAGGCTCACTAGACCAGGAGCTGGCTGCAGGGACTCCAGCCCCCCTCCTCTGGACTCTGGCCTGTGCTCTCAGAGGAGGGGCTGCCTAGGGGCACTGTTTCTAGGCTGAGATGGGGGTGGGCAGCGTGCAGAGAATAAGCACAGAGCGAGGGGCAGGATAAATGCTCCCTCCTCACTCCTGCTCTGCCCTGCCTCCCAGAGGCCTCCCCAACCCTGTAAGGCAGGGACACTCAAGGCAATGACAATAGAGAACAAAACAAAACATGGGCTCAGTTATTCTGTGAGAGGTGAGGACTAACCCCTGGAGCCAGTCGGGGGGCCAGCCCTTGTGCTTGCCACGCTAAAGCTGCTCAGAGAAGGTTGGTGTCTTTGAGGGGTCCTGAGGACTGCAGGCAGGCAGCGTGAGGACTTGGGGAGAGGTAGTGACGCTGCCACATTATTCTGTATCTGTGTCTGGGTGCGTGTGCATGTGCACACACTGTTACTTCCCCCCTAGTCTAAATTCCTGTATGGGTGCAAAATGGCCATAGCCTTCTCAGGACAGAATAAGGAGGGATGGCTCTAGGGGGCTAGGGAGAGGGGGCCAGAGGAGGAGAAATGTCCCTCCGTCCTCTGAGCATGGGACACACACACACACACACACACACTCACACACACTGACACAGCCCCACAGACAATTCAGCCTGCACTCACTTATGGGTAGCCCACAAACAAAGACAATGTATGAATCCTGGCAGGGAGACCCGGATCAGAGAGCTGTGGGATTAATCAGGGCAGACTTCCTGCTGGAGGAAGGTCTTGATCCTAGTGGCCTCAGGAATCCATTAGAGAAATAAGTGCCTGCTGTGAGGCAAGCATTGTTAGCAGCTTCGTGTGAATATCTTATTTAATACTCATAGCACCCTTCCTTGTAGGAGTTATCATTTCCCTTTTTGTGGACAAGGAAGCTGAGGCTAAGCAAAGTCAAGTAATCTGTTTAAGGTCACACAGCCATTAAGTGGCACAGCGGTGATGGAAACCTTAGCCTTCCTGGTTCCTAGGAGCACATTCTGTCATCATCACGCAATCCTAGTCAGAAGGAACCTACATGGCTGTGGGGCCCAAGGGAGCATGCGCACAGACACAGCCCCAGGACACTCAGGAGCTCACACCCCACAGGGCAGATGGCTGCCACACCCCCACAGGGCAAGTGGCCTGGGCCCTTGTTGGAGCAGGAGCAGCTCCTGCCACATCCTGACCCCTGGAGCTGGGTGAAAACCATATACCCTCAGCCGATTGCTTTCCAGCCCCATCCAGAGACAGTGTGATGTCCCCACCCCTGCTCTAACCTCCTCATATAAAGTGGCTTCCATACACCCTCCTAAAATGGGGGTCCTAATGGATATCTTATCCTATGTCTGAGAAAACCTGACAGACCTCTG